AGTAGTAGTAGTAGTGTGTGTGTGTGTGTGTGTGTGTGTGTAGGAGAGAGAGAGAGAGAGAGAGAGAGAGAGAGAGTTTCCTAGTATTCTTATGACATCCTCAGTTTCCAATGCGGAGCTTAGTTAAAAGAGCATGTGTGAGCAACTCCCAATAGTTGGAGACCTCTGGCAAAGAGTGAGACAGAGGGAGGGAGCATTAGCAGTCTTGACTAAAGTAGTGAGTGCAGTGTTCTGGGCATGGAATGACGCACATATTGTGCTGGATCAGAAATGCGGAAGAATTAGAAGCCTCTAAGTGTCAACTAGTCGTGGTTTAAAGAGCAAAGCAGCACAGCTACGAAGCTGTTCTCTGTGTGGCGCTGGTAAGGTATACATCGTTCTTTGACTTCTCTCTCTCTCTGCTCTCTCTCGCTCGTTTTCTTCCCTTCCTCCCTCCCATTTTCCTCCCCTCAAGGCTTACATAGCACAAAGCTTCTGACAGGGATCAAGGGGGAAACAATTTGGTTGGGCTTTACAGATTTTCTTTTTCTTTAATTTTTAAAAAAAAATCCTTTTTTGTTTTACGTTTAGTGTGAAGCAAAAAGATTGTACTAGTCAGCGTTGAAATGCTAGTTCTTGTCTCTGTGTGTGTGTGTGTGTGTTTGTGTGTGTGTGTGTGTGTGTGTAAATATATGAATACACACGCAATCTATGTATGTACATTTTTGAGTAAACAAGAGTAAAAGTCCGTTTCAGCTGGTCTGAAGATATGAGGCCTTGGAGAGACTATCTATTTTCACAACAGCACCAAGTTCCTGTTACATTACATGTTGCTCTCTGCTGATGGCAGTTGATAATTGGTAGCCACAGTCTGTGGTCTGAGCGCAGCTTTTTGTCTAGCACCTGGGCTGGGCCCTGCTGATATACAGTGGAGTGAGAGAGAGTCACACACAGACAGAAAATAAGCTAGCTGTAACTGTGCAACTCCGGGTGAGCAGCCTCAAGAGGATATTGCCTCACTGCATGGAACTTACCTGAGGCTGACTGGTGATGCTGTGTGTGCTGGGGGGTTCACAGAGAGGCTTGAATCCCTTTTCCAGAGGACACGATTATGTCCAGTGAACAGCGTAACAGTACAGCGTTGAAGGATGCTCAGTTAAAAGACCTGTTATTGGAAAAAGGTACTCCAGTTTTTGGTTGTATTTTTTAAATATTTATTTAATATATTTGCATGAATCAGATTATTGTAAACTTGATCTCTGACTTCTATCTGATCTGCCAAGTTACAATATTGCTGTATCAGAGCTACTCTTATAAGCAGAGGTGTATAAATAGAAGGAAGTCTATTATATATGCACACAGTTGTTTGTACAACTATCTCTTTAGGAAAATGGTCCAGGCATTTCTACCCACATGAATACAAATAAGCTAATGTATCCCCTCTTCTATTCTTAATTTATTCTCCTAGGAAGGTGTTTTCAATAAATACACAATTGCCTTTTTTGCTGCATATTTGTGAAGTAAAAAAAAAATATTCCCCTGGAAAAACTGTATTACTCCTTTATGCCTGTGTGTGGGTGGGTAGATATAATTTTTTCCATGCTCCATTTTTGAAGAAAAGCTTTACTAGGGGATGTGGGTGGTGGTGGTTAGGGTGAGGTGCCTCTCACGTTTGCCGTTAACTGGGGAGCCTGGGTGAGGTGTGTGGGGGTACGTGACTGTATGTTGGCATACATCAGAAACTGCACTAATTGCCTTGAGTTGTGTCAATAAATGTAGACTACTTGTGCTATTGTCCTTTTTCTTCTGTTCTAATAACTAGCAGGGGGACAAATTGGGTTCAGGAAAAGATTAAATATCTCCCGCCCCACCCTTTGAAAAGAAATTGCTACCCTTGAAAATCTAATGGAGTGTTTTCTTATGCTCTGTTTTTCATTTTTGCATCATAAAGCCAAATATGGAAAGAGTTTGTGTGTACATGCTGTAATAGAATATACTGTGGTTTTATTATATGTGACCATATTTTGATTGTATTTTTTTGTTTGTAAGTCTCTCAAATGATTCAGATCCTGAAACATTTATTCAGAGAAAGACGGTACTGCCCTTTCATAGAAATACTGGGCCCCCGATAAATTTGGAAGACTCAGCCCTTGGCAGATATAGAACTAACATGTCATTCCAGTGATCTCTACATTCTAGGAAAGTCTCTAAATCAACATTACTCGTTTTGCATGTTGCCCTTTAGCAACAGTCTCACAGTTTCCACAGTAATGAAGTATTATATAGGCAAAAAAAAAAAAGTTGTGGGTGTGGAGATGCTCAAATATCTAGCCTTTATATATTCTGTAGTATAGCAACTGTCTTCTGTGTCAAGTTTGTAACCTGCAATTGTGACCTAAGGCAAATTGACCTTATCCTAAAACACATAAGTAATTTCTGTTCCATGCTTTTAGATGTTTTAGCTATCAGTACAATGACCTGAGAAAAAACTGACAAACTGATTGTTGTATGTGGAGTTCTTAGCAGGAGTAATGGGAGGGTATAAAAGACTGAAGAATGAAAGTGTGTGTAGGAGTTGATTGTGTTTTTAATGAATGGTCTATACTTAACTGAAAAGAAAAAATAAATTAAAAATGTAATTGCATTGTTAAAGGAGCTTTTAATCTTGGAATAATTTCAGTTACACCTACTGTGATTAGCAATGAAATTAAGCTGCTAGACTTTTGTTTGTATGCTCTTGTTCATTGATAACTTCTGACAAGTAACAAAACCTTGTAGCACAGGCAGATATAGCAGGTATTACTACATGCTAGCACTGATAACCTTGTAGTATGCTTGCCTTTTTGCATTTCTTGAAGGTTTGTGATGGTTTTGTTTGGAAGAGATTTTAGAAGCTAAAAAGCTTGGTTTGCTTTCATTTGCAATACAGGACATTTTGAAGAATACATATAGCAATCTTCCTTTCACTCAACTTTTAAAAATCACCCTGGAAAAGAAAGACATAAAAGGGAAAAAGTCCTCTTTTCCCCCCCAGTGCATTTAAATTTCTGCCTTTTAACATTGTTAGCTTCTTTTTTGCCTGGCCAAGATTTTTAAAATCGGAAGCCTAAATTTAGTCTCTAAATCCATATTCAGGAATCTAATTAGGTGGTGTCATTTTTCAGAAGTGCCCGTTTCCCTTTTTACCTGTGTGGCAGCCAAAGATGTGCTCCCATAGACTAGACATTCTCTTTGAAGACTAGAGCATCCCTTGTGAGTGATGCACTGTTTCCATAGAAATGTAAGCAAATGCATAACTCCTAAGGGCAAATTCTTCCCTTAGTCACACCCATGCTCCTTCAATAAAGCCAGTGGGGTTGCATGGGTGTAAGTAGGGGAAGTTTTTGCCTCTAAATAACAAGTTTTTGGTGGTACGAGCTAGTCTTTTGCCAAAATGGCAGACTTTGTAATGTTTACATTGTAAATAGCATCATTTCCTCAATCGTGTCTGTGCTGGCTTTCATTTTTAACTACGTTGGACTTTGCATTAGTTTGGGGTACCAGAACTCAGTAACTCAAGTAAAATCTTACTGAAGACCAGGCAGTTTGTAGTTTTCATATGAGTTCGCAGATCGAGTTAAAGACTGGGCTTTCCCCATAGACTTTAACTCTTTCAATTATGTTCTATCAGCTGCAAATTGTTAGCATGGCTGAGATACTGGAAACAAAGTCTTGATTCTTCTCTCTGCAGTATCAGCTCTGATGCTGCTGGAGATCCCAGGATTGTCCTCACACTGTAGGGTGTTAATAAAATAGCTTTTCCCACTGGGATCACTAGATTTTCCAAAGGACTGCGTCTTCTTCTAGAAGAATTACCTTTGTGGAGGCTGCATCATGAAGTCTCTTAACCTTTGATTTGCAGCTACCCAATGGCCTAAACTCTGTTAGTGCTTAAATGTGCTTTCTGCATTCTGGTTAGGATGCAGAGTTCTTGACAAAACTGATATTTTAATCCATTTTAAAATGGCCATCAATAAATAGCTTGAGACAATTGTTGTGAGATACTGAATGTTTGCAGAATATTGTTGCAGAAAATGAATGTTCTGTGTCCAGGCTGATGGTTTTTCTCCCTTTCATTGTTTCAGCTGAACTGGAGTTTGTTCAGATAATCATTATAATCGTGGTGATAACTGTTATGGTGATAGTGATCATCTGCCTGTTGAACCATTACAAACTCTCAACACGCTCTTTCATCAACCGACAGAGCCAAAACAGGAGGCAGGAAGAAACTTTGCAGCCGGTAAGTCCAACCTCCTTCATCCCATTCTCCTCCTCCTCATTCATGCTGGTCTCTTTCAGAGCTTAAAAATACATGAAGTTCTGCTTATAGGCAGCCATGCGAAAAACTTCTGGCATCAGTTGTATTATTTTCTCTGTTAGTGAGTTAGTTTTTTGCCACTGTGTGTATTAATGAAAAAAATCAAGTGCCCGATTTTAGAGTTTCACTGCACAACTGTTTTTAAGCACTGCTGTGTTTTATACAGCAGCTTTTTCATGCTTCATATTTGTCTGGTGGTGTCAGAATGTGAAAGCCCTGATTACTGCTTCTACTGCAAGTTTTTAGTGAATTTTCACCTTACGGAAGGTGTTGCAGTGATGACCTGGGAAGATTTGTCATTTCCTGTTTATCCTTAGAATAGATGCAGTAGCGTTAGCTCCTTACCAGCTACTGGGGAGAATGTGAAAAGCCTGACATTTTTCTCTCAGTTAATTCCCTTCCACTCCCAGGCTTGTCTCTGCCATCTGAAGGGGGGAAAGGCATCAAACAAATGTCTTAAATCAGGAAAATGATATATCCCCCAATTGAGGAAAGTCCCGACATTGATGGGGCCCAATAACTGAGTAATTGCCTTTTTGTGGTTCCTCTGGTCTCTCCCTCATTCAGTTTAATGTCATTTTCAGAGTTGCAGCACATGCAGCTGTGGCATCGAGGGTCCTGAGATGTTGCAGGCAGGCAGTCCCTACTAATGCCCCTCATGTTTCCAGTGTCCATTAAAGGCAATGGCAAAACTCCCATTGACTTCAATGGGGCTAGAATTTTATGCCAGGAGTTTGACACTTAGACCAAAGGTCCTGCATGTAACCCCATGTCTCTCTTCTGTCTTCTAGAGCACCTCTAGTGGTGAAAGGAGAGCTTGCTACCTGTGCCCATTGAGCTCTTACTCTTTGAGCTCAGGTTGGCAGTAAGAATGCCATTTATGATGATAGTTTTTGTGATAAAGACAGCATACCCCCTCAGGAACTGGGTTGAAAACACAACCTTATTTCATATGCCATTGAACATCCAATGTCCATCAGATGATGATGACTTTCAACCACTATTGCATTGGGCTGGTTTCAAACCAGTGGCTAGAGGTGTATCCCCTTTCCAACTGACTGAGCCACCCAATAACTTGCTTCTTTTTACATCTGTTTGTAACATGGTTATACAGTTGATCCAAAGGGAAAGAATTTGCATAAAGTCCCAGTTTTATGTTTTTGAGTGAAGTTAGAACTTATGGAAATGATGGATGAATTACACTAGTTAGGGTTAGACTCAGTGACAGCATTCTCACTCCCCACCAGTACCAGCCCCTGCTGCTCTGGTGATGGGCCTCTTCTGAGCAGAGAGAGACACTGTCAACATGTGGAGTGATTTTGTATTTGTAGGTGAATGGGGACTAAGCCTGACACTATCAAATGGGTGACCTAAGTCAGCATTGATCCACTGTTCCACCTGGTCCTCTCACTCATGGTATCATTTTAAAACAATGTAGTAAGGCCCTAGTAAATGCTTCTTTGGTAGGACAAATTGCATTCTTTGTTTTTTTGCAGATGTTTTTGGTTCTGAGGGGGCTATTTTATATCCTATAGCCTAGGCAAACAGATGCTATAAGCATCTCAAAATATATTCCCTTCCAACACACACATTATGATGTTAGTGTCATGAGAAGACAACGTAGTCCTGAAATATGGTAAGCTTATTGTCCCCGGAGTTCTTCTTTGCAGACCATCTACATTCTGGTGGTATCTGGGGGATCTATTTGTTCTTGCACCTAAGAGAAGGAGGAGAGAAACTGTCTTATTGAGAGTACATGCTGTAGACATGTTCCCTCTCACAAGGTACCTCCGGAATATTGTATTCTAAATGGGTTAAAACAAAATCAGAGCTCTTAAAACTTTGCCCTCACATACTTCTTACTGGCTGGAGAAATCATTTAGACTAATTTGAGGATTTTTCTTAAATGAACACCGTGAACTTAAACTTTTTCAGACAGAAGTGTGATTGTTTACCTACAATTGCTACAAGTGCTGAAATAACTAGAGGAGGTTAAGAAATATTTTTTCTTTCCCCCTTTTTTTAATGCCGAGTGGTGTCAAATGTGTACAACAGTCCATTTCAAGATTTCCCGTTTATAGTCAATATCCCCTGTTGTTTGGGTGGGCCTTGGTCATAGGAACTATGGAGAGAAAAACATATTTTTGTAAATAAGAAAATGTAATTTGGCACTGGGGAGAGAGGAGCAGGTATCATGCCTGAAACCATTTTAAACTCATTTTTAAAATAATAACTAAATTTCTGATTGATGATACCCTTTTAAATAATGACAATCCCAGGCCAGTGGCTGGAAAGAGTCAAGAAACTTTCTGGGATGGGGTTGCCATCATTGTTCATTTGGGTTTCTATTCAGCCAAGAACTTTACTTCAAATGATTTTGCTATTTTTGTAGGGCCCAACAGGTGTTGCTACTTGGATGGTCCCTAACTAAGGCCTGATCCAAAGCTCACTGAGACAACAGAAACAATCCCATTGACTTCAGTGGGCTTTGGCTCAGATCCAAGTTTGATCCTGCAAACACTTGGGGTATGTCTACATTGCAATCTAAGCCCGGGATCCAAATTGAGGCTCAAGCCTAAACCCCCTTCCGTTTACACACAAATCGCGCTAACCCAGATCTCGGCCCCAAAGTCCAAGAACCCCACGGCGGTGGAGGGTCTGAGTCAAGCTGGGACCCAGGTTTCAAGCCCTGTTGCTTTGCAGTGTAGACACAGCCCCACTGGCTTCATGCTGTAGGAATCCGCCAAAAGTATCCCACAATCCCGTGGGCCGACGTCCTTTGTTCTCTGGACAGTCAAGTTTTCCACACTGCACCACAAACAAAGGGCTAGAGCAGCCATGTTTTGGAAGGGCACTAGGAAATCTGGGATTTGGATGGTTGGACACAGGTCCACATAATGCAGTGTAAATGCTGGAGCCCCAGGTTGGGATCCAGAGTTTCAGTTCCTGACTTGGGGTTGCAAATGAATGTAGATGCTCTAGCACTAGGTTAACAAACCCAGGGTCTGCTAACTTGAGTTCTACTAACCCTGGGCTTACATTGCAGTGTAGACGTATCCTTAGGCACAAGTCTATAAAACTGGAAAGATTTCCAATAGAAACAGTTATGTTAAAAACAATAAACATTCCCCTGCAATGTTCACAGTCCAGGCAGTGAAGGATTGTGCCAGTTCATGAAAACCAGAAAATGCACTATTGAGTGAACCAACACTGAAAATGAGTAGTTTGTTTTCATTGTCTAAACTGAGTGAAATGCATAAGGTAAACAAACAGCTTCAATGATGAAAAGTAACAGAAGTCACAATTTTTTTTTTAATTCTGTATATAGGTTTTCAACCTGGCAGTGTCCCTTTAAGTATTTTTCAGGTCTTGTTCTCTTTTAATTGAGGATGATAACTGGGTTCTCTGTCATGGGAGCAATGATTAAGGTGCGCAGACTGAGAACGGATTTAGAGAATACTTACTGACTACTAATTGCTAAAGAAGGTGCACATCACTCTGGCTCAGCCCTTTGCTGTTTCTGAGCAACAGTAACTAAAAGGAGTGTCAGTTCAGTATTTTCACAGAAGAATTATTTTTAAAAATAAAATTATGCAGTTGATCATTTCTCTGTTTCAATGAACTTCGTCCAGTTTCTGCTGTTGCTTCCTTACATCCAGGCAACCCTATTAACTTCATTGAGATTGCACAGATGTAACTGCGGGCAGAATCATAGCCCCTTTTGTTTTAATTTGAATTCTATACACTGGACAGCTCTGATGGTATTTTCATATGAGTTCATATTTGCATAAGTCTTAGATTTGCTCCTTTTATCACAACCAGTCCTGGTGCTGCTAATGTCTGAACTGTAGCAAGATCACACAGGTTTCTGATGCCACAAAGACTAGAAACCCAGATAGCTCATGTTTTTTATTCAGGTCTTTCCAAAAAAAACCCAAAAACCCACAATTGAAATTAATAGATTAAAACTCTTCCTTCTATTATTGCCAGCCTCAAGTTGTTTAAAAATCACGAGATTGGCTTAAAAGTCATTGGATCTTTTTTTTAAAAATACATTTTGCGTTATTTTTGTTTGCCTTCTGATTTTGAAGTCTTTACAGAGAGAATGCACTTGCTTCACGTTTTCAAGATTTCCTTTGCAAACTTGAGGGCCAGAAACTTACTTATTTTTTTTAATTGGAATTCTCATACAATCTCTTGATTCATGCAGTTGGGCATTAAAAATAACACCAAATATCACAAGATTTGCAATAAGATCACAAGTGTTGTCAAAACTGACATCCCAGCTTTTCAAAGGACAAAAAGGGACTAGTCCTGGAAAACGTCAGTGGCTCTTTAAAAAAAAGTGCTGATAACTGACTGTCTCAGTGTTCAGGTTGAAATGCACTTTCCTGTGTACCCATCAATTCTCTGCTTTCTTTTCTTTTGTCTTATTCTTCTCCAGCCTTTCCTCTACTCTCCTTAATGTTTAAATTGTCTTGATTTAATGTGCTGAAAACATCACATGTGTCTAAATCAGACCCACAGATACATGATTTTTCCATAGCAGTTTTGCTTCAGGCAGATGTTTAAGGTTCTACTGCATAACCAATCCTGCTATCTGCCAGGGTGGCTTAAAAACACTATTCTTCAGTGTAGATGGAACCTAACCATGACTTCAAATCATAATGGAAATAACCCAAACTTGCATATGATTTTAGGGACAGAGTTAGGTCTCACCAATGCAGGGTTATACTGTGTTAAGGGACAGCCATGTTGTAAATGGGCTCCCTGATATGGTTGGATTTGTATTGTAAAGGTGACCTAAAATGGCAAGGTAGTACTTAATTGTACAGACATTATGATTAACAAAATATTAAATGTTTCCCCCTGCTGGTCAACCAATAGTGGGATAAGCAGTGCTTGGATACAAAATCAAAGGT